GCAGTAAATAACCACTCGTGAGGCTCTCATTCTGCTGTCACTGAAGCCAAATAGAGAAAGGGGATGCCAGGCAGAGAGCCACATTCACTGATGCAACATAAGAGTGTGAAAGAGACATCAGGTTCCTCACAAAAATCCACTTTCCCTTGGCATCACCCTTTGCTCATTCTCTATACACTTGCTCCAATTTAACTTCTTCTTCTCTCAGTCTAAACTCTATCTCGCTCTTTTATTGGGTTCTTTATTTTGTTTTTTCTTTGCCTCTGACAATTACATATTAGTTCAATGGAGGTTGAAACTGCAGGGTATATCACGATGAGACAATGATGCTGCAACCTTGGCTTGAAAGCAACTTTAAAAACCAGCTTCCTTGGTAGTAAAAAAGAAAAAGATCTTTCCACGGTATCATTCCAATAAGGCAAGACTCGCATATTTCCATTTTACATTACAGGAATCCTGCTTTGAAAATGAATAACTAAATAAATAATAAATTCTACTGAGCTGTAGAGATCAGACCATCAATCAAAAGGAGATAAAAAGCAGTCAGAGGCAAAGAGGTGTTATTAACATACATACTAAGTAAGCAACTACACAACCACAAAATGTCTCTCAATGTGGTGTCCCACAAATATAGTCAATTAAAAATAAGCGCAACATTATCAAAACGATCCCCATGGAAATATTTAGGAAAAAACATGTCCGGGAGATTTATTTGTGGGAAGATAATTTTATAATTATTCATTAATACTGGGTCAACAGAATACAACATCATGTGTTGATTCAATATCTGGTTGTGCTGGTAAAGCTGCACACCAGCTATTTAGTATTTCACTTTCACATGTTTTTGGAGTCACAAGAGACAGATTAAACAACAGGAGAGGGCCTGATATCCTAATTTTGGTCTCAATATGAGTCAAGCTCCAAAAACCATGGATTCTTCTTCTTCCATGATTTACCTCAGCACATACTCTTACTGCCTCTAAATTGCACAATCCTTCCAGACACCATACCTCCTGTTAATCCCAAACCATTATTGCACAGAGTATGTCATATATTTTCAAACGTTGAAAAGCAAGATATTATTAAACTGTTTTAATTGTCTCACTTGAGTAGTTCTTCCTTGTGTGTAAAATTGAGTGGCCTTTTAGCCACATTTGTCCTTATGGACTTCTGAGTTGAATGCTAATGTTTAAATCCAAGATATTTACATACCTAATTGCCACAGCTCAAGCTCTGTGTTTAAACTGACACCCTTGTAAAGGATAAAGCTTTGAATGTCAATGACTCCTTACTGCAGAGCAAACTGAGAGAGTGTAACATTTAAGAATTGACTGTGGTAGTGTGTGTAGTGTGTGTGTGTGTGTGTGTGTGTGTGTGTGTGTGTGTGTGTGTGTGTGTGTGTGTGTGTGTGTGTGTGTGTGTGTGTGTGTGTGTGTGTGTGTGTGTGTGTGTGTGTGTGTGTGTGTGTGTGTGTGTGTGTGTGTGTGTGTGTGTGTGTGTGTGTGTGTGTGTGTGTGTGTGTGTGTGTGTGTGTGTGTGTGTGTGTGTGTGTGTGTGTGTGTGTGTGTGTGTGTGTGTGTGTGTGTGTGTGTGTGTGTGTAATGAGCACCTCTGCAGCCTGTACTTACGGCTCGTGTGACTGACAGGAAACGGTCATAACTAATGAGGACAATGTTGAAGACTGAGGCGGTGCAGAGCAGGTAGTCCATAAGCAGCCACACCTTGCAGAGCCCCTTACCCAGCATCCACCGGCCTGTCAGGTTGTACGGGATGTACACTGGGATGCAGAAGGCACCTGAAACAGCCACACACACACACTGCATGATAATTCAACCCCACAACCAATATTATTAACATTCACACCTCTCCAGACCCGCCTGGATGTGAGACCCTGTACATGTGACAACAACAATTACTACTTGCTGTATTTTACCAGACAGAGGTTTTATACATTTTAGAAACAAGAGCAGCTTGCATTGGGTTGTTTGATTTCAGTGAAGGGTATAATGTATCTAATGCAGCAGATAAGAGCAGAACAATAAGAGGGGTGTGAATGCTACAAAAATAAAACGAGAATGCTACAAATATGAGCAATATTTAATGGTAATGTAACACATGAATGAAGCAAAAAGGACAAGGTCCCATACACTCAACAATGACTCACTGTAATTATATAGGGAAATAACAATGGGTCTGGGGCGTGCAGAAATAGCCTTTTAGTGTTTCTGCATTCATAGCGAGGAACAAGATACTTGAAAGAGCCCCATTTGAGCGACATTACAGAGAAGACACAAAGAAGAAGAGGAGGCACCAACTCACCCACGAGGAAATCAGATATAGCAAGGTTCAGAAAGAAGTAGTTGCTTTGATTTCTCAGGGATTTATCCACAATAAAAGCCATGATGACCAGCGCGTTCCCAGCCACCACAACGACAACCAGAGTCACCATGAGCACCGATAAGATCACGGCCAGGTAGCCCGGGAGGACAGTCCCAGCCTCGGACACCGCTGGAGTCAAGTTACCGCTGGAGTTGCACTCCAGAATATGCGCGCTCATAGTTAATATAAACCCACACTCATTGTAGACCTGTTTCATTTCAAGCACAGAAACAACGCACAAGTCCAATTACGCGCCCAAACGTTCCGCTCCACTGTAGACAGGAGTCAAAAATGACTGGAGACCTGTGGATAAATACTTTTTCCAAATCTTCCATTTTTTCTTCTTATTTAAATCTGTGTTTAAGACAGATACAAGTTTAAATTGAATCTTAATTTTTAATATTGATATTTGTAGATCCTCTGGGTGTTTGCTCCTCTCTCTGGTCAGCAGGTTTTTAACCCTGCTGTCTGCTGGATGTGCGCGACTGCGGGTGCCGCGGGGCGCACACTTGCTTTAGTCACCCACGTCAAGCTAGCCATACTAGAAAACAAGTGCTATATCCGCTCAAACGTACACAATAAACGTCTTACAGCAACCTTGTACAAAAGTGTTATAATATGTATCCTATCTTGGTAACAATGTATTAAGTTACAGTGACGTTACAGTGAGTTTTCTCAACACATTATCCACATTCAAAGCCACATACAGAGTGTATCCTAAAGGAAAGCCACATTAACGACAGTTAACATCTCTAAAAGCCTGTGCAAGCCCACATTAAACCATAATAGTGTGTTGGTTATTCACCACATTAAAAACCCTCCAAAATATAGTGTAATCACTTCAGTTTCGCCACATGCTCGAGTTGTAAATTGAACAAAGCGCTTTTATTTTGTAGGCAACAACATTTCCGGTATCATTCGAGTGATTTCTTCGCACTTGACTTTTTGCCTCTTTGTCCGCGCAGCAAGTGATCAAAGTCTGCAGTCAAAAGCTGAAGTGGTCCAGACGCCTGAAGCAGACCGAGATGAAATGACCTGAGCTTCAGCCGATCAGTGTTTAAACAAAGCATCCAGTCATGCAGAGATTCTGAGGTCAATGTCCACTTAACAAAGACAGGAAGCACCACGATTTACCATCGTCTCCTTCCAGCAACTCAGACAGGATATTTTGATAAGAGAGACTTTAGAGCATCAATAAAGAAAGTCAGTTACATTCTTGAAAAAGCTTAACCTCCATGATCAGTTTTTTTGAGTGTTTTAGTTAAAAAATAAAACCAACAAGGTCGCTTCAAGTACCTAATTGTTCAATATTAAATAGATAAATACAACATTATTAAATAAATTACGGAAGAGAGGTGAAATCCCCACTGTTATATGAACATATTAATAACAATAATACATATTTGGGGATGAATACTTGCATGCTATGAATTGATATTTATATTATTGGTCTTCGCTGTAAAATTGGACCCACCACAGCTCACCATCTGGATAACATTTATGATTGAAGTGGGCTGAATATTCTCCTCAACTCTGAATATGAATTTATGTTCGTGCATCTTTTCACAAGCCTCTAAAAATACAATTAGGGGCTGAGATGATGTGTTCAACATGATGACAGCTTGTCAGGGAGGAAACACGTTTTTTAAGTGAATTAGCTCTAATTATACCCAATGGTTGAAATGAGCAGGCAGCTTTGTACACAGACATGGAGGAAATTTCATGAAACTCTCTTGAGTGTCATTTATATTCTCATTTAAATTAAATGTCATCATTGGATCCTGATATCAGTTTTATTCCCTCAAGATAACCAAATGTTTTTTTTATGTCACAATAGTAGGATTGTGGTGGGGAAAACTGAAATGCCAAGGGCGATGATGAGCCCTGTATATTTTTAGAAAGCAGTTCTCTGCTGCCTAAAACCAACCCCAGAGTGCTTCATATGCAGACTGTGTTTCTCCAGGCATCAAGTGAAACCCAAAACGAAGAGGTGAGGCAAAGTCCCACAGGAGTCAATATGGGGTAAACGCTACAGGAGAAATGTGAAAAGTGGAATATTTAGCAGGCTTCAAGGATGGCAAGTGGATTTCATATGCATTGAGGAAAACGGTCATGTGGATTATGTGCAAGCGTGAGAGTGTTTTTGTCGATGACACTCAGTGAACTTCATTTTGTTGAGCCGTGTGATCATATTCTTGGAAACGCTGAATGAATTGTGTATGAATTTAATTTACAAGCCGATTGGCTGAATTAAATATACAAGAACATGTTATTCACACTTTGACATCAAGACAGAATGGAGCATTACCATTTTTCTAAACAGGTGAATCTAATCCTGATGGGTGAACTCTCTATGAAGATGTCAAAGTAATGTTTTCTGCACGAGACTCATGGTTTGATTGTTTTAATGAAAACATCTCATTTCAATGCTTCTCAGTCAAAATGCTGTCATATACAGTAAGGTCCAGAGTTGAGGCAATCAGCTAAAATAATTAAACGTTGCTTAAATATATTGCAATACTCGTCATGTTGAATACATTATTTGCAATTGCAATAAATCCCTGTTTGACTCCATTAAGACACAATTTAAACAACCTTAAAACAACCTTCTCAAAAAGATGAAATGTGTTTGAATAAAAGTCTTTTTAGTCTTGTCCCACATTCATTTCATCTTCTTGCTTTTTGGCCTTTTGATCTTCGCTCCAGATTTGGTGGCCTCATCCTGTGAAACACGAGGAAAGATTTAAGAAATTGAACAGACTGATAATTATCTTACATTAGCACCGCACTTAATGGCGCCAAAGCTTTTATGTTTAGTATTTGAGCTGATTTAAAGCTCATGACTCAATTTGTGACGCAGACTTTACCTGAACGCCTGCTGCGATTCCCTTCCTTACTTAAATGTGCAAATTACAATGTACTGATTGGCATGCACCCTACTGCTTTAATATATTCAAATAATTGCATCACACCAAACATTGCAATTTCCAGTACGCTTATAAAACATCCTCCCACTAATGATTGCTCTAACAATTCAGGCTGCCAACTTGTAGACCTTTTTGCACTTTAACAGCATGTCTGGACAAAAAGTCAGCAAAAATGATAATTTCCTTTCATGCAGCTAAGTGGAACATTTTAATATGCATGCCCCATTATATTTAATATGGAGTTTGCAATAGAGCTGTAAACCAGTCACTGACAACTTGTTGTCCTAATTACAATTTAAATAATGTTCCTTCCCATGTGAAGGTTGGAGTTTCCCGTCAGTTTTAGCCAACAGGAAGTAGACATGTTATTGTTTTAATGGGTGTAATGATACAAGTGTCAGCTACTTTTTATCTTGTTAGTTGCTGAGGTGTAACCTGTTCAGCTCTTGTTGTGTTCAGTCTATTTTCCTCCTAAATCCATCTCTTTCCCCAGAATTATTGTCCTGTTTTCCAATTTACACTTTACCTCAAAACCTGTTTAGCCTCTTACTTGGACATTAGAATATTCTGGATTTTCATCAACAACATCTATTCGTAGATAATCGGTGTACCTCAGGGGTCATTTATGGCTCCTATTTTGTATTCCTATCCATGCTTCCTCTTGCCATGACTCTTGACAATTGTATTCAAGTTCAAATTCAAAGGGGCTCTATCGGCATGAACATTTCAAGAACAATGTTCAACATTATCTTTCAGGCTGCGCTGTTTTCTGAATGAATCAAAACACGCTCAGTATAACATTTGATCCCAGCTCAACCTTTACAAATCATATCACTGGCTTTTTTAAACACGTTAATTCACTCAGGATAATTTGTAAGGGCACTAAGAAATTCACGCTTTCACTTATCACAGAAAAAATAGTTTGGTTCATAATAAATGTTAAACTGAATGTTTTTTTTCCATTCTATTCAAAGGAGCTTTTCCCACCCACAGGCAGTGACCTATAATTAGCCGTCATATAGTCCTGGCTTGATGTTAACAGAAGAACCTTTGTTGTTAGGAGAGAAATCAAGTTCTGATTTTTTCTGAATTGATGGGGTTTTGAAGTAGAATTTGTAGGTTTGCATGCAGCAGCTCAAATGTCAATCATGTTATCAATGGAATAACTTTTCAGAACACAAAGACGACTTCAAAGCAGACTGGACCTAACTTCAGGCCGCTGAGAGCCAGGAGGGACTGTTTGATCTCCAGAACATGTGGCAACCAGACACTTCAAATGGACCAATATATAATGTGACAGCACCTGAGGAGAACTGTGTGGACACACAAAGCAAGCCCTACACACACGCTATATGATTTTAATGCATGTTAAAATGTAACCTGTAACGGTTAACTATCTGACAGTCTGTCCTTTTTTGACTTTCAGAATCTGCTTTGGTTGTCAAGAAAGACAAAAAATCTATTTGTTTTGAGATAATTGGATAAATATCTGGGTAACAGTCAATTAAAATACAAGATATCAAATGTTTACCCGCATTAGGGAATCTGACAGAAAAGTCAAATTTGACCGATGACATGTCAGTGGAAGATGACAGAGAGATATGTAAGAGTGTCTCACCGTGGAGGCAGTGTAACCTTCCTCCACCAGGATATTTCTGGCACAGTTGTTGATGTGTTTGAAACGGTCAGGACCCAATAAAATACCTCCGTACCATCGAGACACGACCACCATGACGTTTCGCACATCCAGAATCTGTGGTGACAGACAAACACATGGAAAATGTGAAAAGAGTGTCAAAAAGCTGGCATGAGATTTACAAAATAAACTGGGACACAACACCCCTTCGCTGGCTACCAGCACGATATTTCACACCAGATGCGATACGGTGGATGAATCTTCATTAAGTGTATCTGGTTCAGGCCATCAGCTGTCAGTCTAAAGCTGATGGTCTGGGCCTCCAAAATATTTAGCTTTTTGGATGTGCTTCACAGACTCGGATATCAAAATATATTTCACTTTCATCTTCATGTGTAAATATCTAGCACCAGGAAATTCTTAGCACACACACTGGAAGGTTCAAAAATTGTAAATCCTCCATAAAATCATGGAGATAAAGCACTGACTCCCATGGTTGTTTACTAAAGATATGAATACCTGTTAGATAAACAGAAATGTTTATTAAAATAACAATGTTTATAATCCACAAGGCAATGTCAGACGCGTAAAAAGGAGTCATAAAAAGACAATCAAAACAATAGTGTGCAATAAACTGCTCTAATCAACATTTATTATATTAACATTGGATCAAATGTTGCAAAGATTATTATTCTTATAACTTTGAATGAATGAAGGTCAGCCGTTATCCATCCTGCATCTCTCTACTGAACAAACAGAGATTAAATTGACATTCATATTATCACCAAACTCCTGATAAATAGCAAATAAGCAACTTTCCCAAAATGTCAGACTATCCCTTTAAAATAAATAAGGGAACTTGACTCTGCCAAGCAACACACATAAAAGTGCAATGTGTTATTTGAGGGGACTCATCCACATCTGCCACGGCTGCCAACACTATTAATCAGATCCTTTTTTTTATTCATCACCTCACACTTCCACATTAAGAGGCAGAGAGCAAGAATCTGAATGAGGAAACAGGAAGAAAAGCTTGTGGAGAGGAATGAGATTAGAGAAGAATAGATTAAGGAGAAAGCTCTTCATGAAAATTGCTCAGAACACTTAGAGTGTGACAAGTAGAGGATTAATCAGTGTGTTGTTGAAAAGGATGAGCGATGACGAGCGTGAAGACAGCCGACCTGATGCCATCGCTCAGTTACAGTAGGTCAGTCAGCTGCAGAGATGACCTGAGAGCACCTCTTTATTCTGCTATAATGCAGTGATGGTGCTATACCTGAGTGTTACATTCACATGGAAATGTACATTTTGTATTCGGAAGATGCTCCACAGATATACATCTATCACAGTCAATAGGTTAGTATTTTACTATTCAGTCTAGTTGTATTTTTCAATTTTGAGATGTATATATTAAAGGTGGGGTAGTTAAGTTTGAGAAACCGGCTCGAGATACACTTTTTGTGATATTCCATGGAATGCTCTTAACATCCCGATAGCAATGAATATCTTAAGTGCTTTGACAAAAAATCCATTAAAAAAAATGTAATCTCTGGAAGCCGTGGCGCTGTAAAAAGCACGACCAATCATTTTAGTCGGCCCGGCTAAAATAACTGGATGGTCTACCTGCCTGTCAGCCTTCCAGCTGTGCACAAACTTATCTCGTGCCCTCATTGGTCATGTGCGCCCACGTGTGTGTTGGAGGAGGGGCTCTGTAAGGAAGTGGCAGATTTTTTCCGGCTGTGTATTTTCAAATTCTAGCGCACTCGACCTGGTTTCTCCAAAATTACCTCCCCCACCTTTAACTGGTGATTATATTTGTTTATTTTCTACTTTATTTCGTTTTCAAATTGTGTGCAATGCCTTGTTTAATGTAAAAATATTTACAAAGAAAATCAGTAAAGTAAATCTAATCTATATATACTCAAGTTCCATACTTTGGTATATTTTTGAGGTACATGTTTTTAAATCAGCACAGCTCTCCACTTTAAATATATATTTATATTCTTTTAATTAGCTGTCATAACAGTCCTATTTTATTTTGCTTCGTATTCTTCTCTCTGTTTCTTTGTATGCACTGCATATAGTAGTGTTCTCATGCAGTGTGTTGAAACTCTGGTGTAAACACTGAGTTAAACCGCAGCCAATGAAGACAGAGTCGTAGTAAGTTTGACCGTTTACTGTCACAATTCTTCATAGACATGGCAGTGAAAACTGTAAATAAACACAATACATTGTTCTTAATGTAAATACAAACTTAAATTGCTTTCCTGCATTCTTTACAGTGTTTAACATAGTTGTAAATAAATCATAACTAATCAATGATCTTTGTAACAATATTCTTCCTAATAAATGACCTTTCACATGAAATAGGTCAAATAGACGAACTTACAGCATTGCCTCTAGGATGTTTCTTGTGGATGGAAGCAGATTATATTTGGAGAAATACACTCTCTGGCCATGCCGTTTCTCTAATGTTAAACCGGAAGTGGCGATGCCGTAAACCGGAAGTGACGCTAAGAACGGCGAACTTAAAGATAACATGACCATTAGCACTCCTAGTGGTGACTTTATGAACTGCAAACAAATTATAACATAACATGCCTTTAAGACAGCACACTCCCCGTCTGACCTCTGTGAGGTCACTAAACTTAGAATCAGTCTTCTGGTAGAAGCAGAACAACTTCTGCAATTGGTCTGAGAACTGTCTTAATTGTGCCTTGGTCCGTCGTCTTCACTTCAACTTTTCTTACATTTCCATCCTTTCCAGGAAATGTGGATATGATCCTGGCCATAGGCCAGCAGTTGCGGGTCACCTGCTTGTCTCTGAGCAGAACTAGATCTCCAACTTGAAGGTTTCTGCATTGCACTGTCCACTTCTGTCGATGCTGCAAAGAAGGTAGATATTCTCTCCTCCAGCGGTTCCAGAACTGGTTGGCTAGAGTTTGAACTTGTCTCCATTGCTTTGTGTACAAGTCTTTGTCAGAGAAGTCTCCTGGTGGAGGCAGAACTCCTGTCTTCTGTGTTAGGAGCATTGATGGTGAAAGTATGAAGGGGTTGTCTGTATCCGTGAGGAGAACGTCGTTGAGGGAGACACCAGAGTACTTGGCGCTGGAGTCAAAGACCACCCTGATAATGTTTGGCTTTTTTGGATGATACACCCCAAAGGTTGGGGGATACCAGCACTCCTCATCTTCTCTCAATGGCGGTGCTAACTCAGCATGTCCGTTGGCAAAGATCTTTTTCATGAACGCCACATACTGCTCCTGCGTCTCAGGTTTCCTTTTTAAGGTTGGTTGCAGGGAAGTGAACCTGTTCACTGCCTGCACTTTGTTGTTCGGCAAAGGCCTGCGTGGTTCTCTAAATGGTAGTGGAGCGACCCAACTGTTGGCGTCGTCTCTGTAGACACTCTTGTCCATTATCTTTAAGAAGGTGACATTTTCCACTGACGGAGCTGGTCTGTTGTCATGTTCAGTTTGATTGAACACTATCTGTCCCAGCATTTTCTCAGTAACCTTGCCAGGTCTGCTGAAGCTTTGCTGTCTCTTTAACATGCATAAAGCTTGTGCATGGATCGAACATTGAATGGCGACCACTGTCCAACACGTTGGTTTTAAACACGTTGACTATGGGCTTATGCACATTACCCAGGCACACCTCTCCTATCACTACCCAGCCCAGGTCCAGTCGTTGGGCAAAGGGGGCGTTGTGTGGTCCGTTGACCTGCTGCCTGACCTTGTGTGCCTGAAGGACGTCTCTTCCAAGGAGCAGAAGTATTTCGGCTTCTTGGTCCAGTTCTGGGATGTGATTGGCAATATGATGAAGATGAGGCTGGTGAAGAACGGCACTGGGTGTGGGAATCTCAGACCGATTATTTGGGATCTCGTGACATTCAATGATTGGTGGAAGAGAGATGAGGACTTTTCCATCCAGAGACTCGATCTGAAATCCTTCTGCCTTCTTGCCAGATGTTTCAACCATGGGCGTCGCCTGGGGTAGGCATCCGGGGCTTTAGCCCCGGATGTTTTTTCTTTAGCCCCGGACAAATTCTCCCTCAATAATATAATACATTAACCGTACTTCACCTAGAGGATGGCAGAATTGTAATTTCCCGTGTTCAGTGAATGCAACAGAGGCAACCACCAGACCAATCCAAGAGTTGCATGGAAATAAACGTGTTTTATTGGCTGACCTCTCCTCTGTGACAGTGTTTAAACTTTCAGCCGCGGACGCGGAGTTTCTGAAGATGGACATTAGACATTTTTTAAATAAAAAATACGGCAATTCTCAAGTGGTGGCTCACACAACAACCCCAGAGCCACCACCTGAGCCAGGTGAACAAGGTATGTAAATGTCAGTAAACTTACAAGTTATGTCAACATGTAAGCAAAGCATAAATTATAGCTACGTTGACGTTACTTTGAATCGCGGGGGTAAGCTAAACCGTTAGCAAGTAGCTATAGCTAGCCAGATATATTAAATAAACACTTTGTCATAAAATCTAAATGTTGTGTTTTTTAGCGTTACCTGGTGATTTCAAAGAAAGCTCTCTGGGAAATGTTGACTTACTGTCAGTGTTCGACATGAAGCTAGAAGCTACCTTACATTACACAGTTGATCCTGAGTCCTGTCAGTTAAAGTGTTTCATAGTTAGCTTAGCTAAGCATCAACCTAGCACTGAAATATATGGATGTTATGTGACGGTATTTCTGAGGAAAAGTCAGCTGAAATGGTGGCATAGTTGCCACTGCTTTACGTGTCAACAGCATGTTTGAACGTATTTGCAGCAGTAAATGTGGCTGTTTGGCCACTGACGTTACCATAACAACACCTGAATTTAAATGTGCAACCTCTTTTTGTGACAGATTTTTGCATGAAATTATAATTCTTCTGATTGATATTCCTATTGACAGCTAGTTTCTATGTGTACATTATGAGATGGACAGCCAGCTAACAAGCTTTCAGATCAAAGCTAATCCAGTGGGGCTCCTGAAAGGGGGCAAGGGACACTATGCTCCCAAATATTAAGCCTTGACCCCCATCTTAAAATTGATATGATCACAAAATGATCTGCATTGTCAGAGGCCTTTTTTCCTCATTATCATGTCAAATTGTACAGCTTTCCTTAGTTTTTAATGCAGAAAGATGACTATATTAGAGTATTAAGTGAAAATGACTATATTAAAGTATGAAGTGAATATATTAAGTGAATTACTCAAACTGCATTTGTATAGGAATGATTATGTCCTATTGGCAGATAACTACTCTAACAGTGATATCTACAAGAGATGTACATTTAACTATTTTCAATTGGTTAGTATTACATTTTGTGACAGTGTGGTGACACTCATTTTAATGAAGACAAATTTGTGTATCTTGAAATTCATTTATTTGACAGAGCTGGAAACTGATTGACTTACATACTTGTTTGTGTTTACCTACACAGTCATCACAGATGAGCCAAACAGAGTAGAGGATGAAGAAAGGGGAACAGGAGAAAGGGACACACAAGAAGGAGAAACAACAGACAAGAACGACAATGGAGACAACAATAAACAGGAACACCAGAACAGACAAGAGTCAATGGGTAACATGACTGATTTAGGGACTGCAGATACAGGGCCAAGGCAAGTGAGACATCACTGCTTTCCATCCAGCATGTTTGGCCAGCAAAAGAGATCATTTCAACCGCAAACAGCAAGTGATGAGGGATTATTATTTCCTCCTTCCATCCCTTTTTTCTGTTTAATCTGATTACTAACAACTTCTAATAATTTGACATAGTTTATGATTTAATTGGAAAATAAAGTGTTTTTAAATAATAAACCCGTTTCTGATTCTGATTCTTTGATTTTTGTTGACATATGGGTGTTGAGAGATGTATCCATATCTCTTAATGTTGCTCTCAAAGTGCACAAGATTGATGCTTTTAACTTCAACATTTAAAAAAATTCTTCCCTCAAAATAGCACTTTATCTCTGCTTATGTAACTCCGGTGTAGTGTCCCCTTGGCAACAGATCACTCAGAGCTGGTGATTACTTTCCTGCATTTCAATGGACAGCATAAAACGACACGTGAGCTGGGGTCTGGTGCTCAGATTAGCTATTGATGATCACGTTGATAAATCATATAAAACCAATCACACAAAAACATGTTGCTGTGACTGTGAGCATTAAACAATTAACATTAAACTAAACAAACACAACAGTACGTTATTGTCCTTATAAAATAAAAACATACATTTTGTCCACCGAGATAATACAGGCACCTTACCCTCAAGAAATCCACACGTGCTATGAGAATCTCCCACAATCCATTGCCGTAAAAAAGCTAATGCAGACACACGTTTGTGACACCAGATGGCGCAATTGTGTATGTGCGTGTGGGGAGTCTTGCAGTAGAAAATTCGACTGTAGCGTGGTGGGCTAAGCCCCGAATGTTTCCAGGTCCAGGCAACGCCCCTGGTTTCAACTATGCAAGTTCTGAGACAGTATGAGGATGGTTTGCTCTCTACGTTGAATAGTTTGAAGAACTCAGGGGTAGCTAATGAGCGATTACTCTGGTCGTCCAGAATTACATAGGCTTTAACCTGTTAAGCCCTGAGCCTGTTTTTCAGGTCTCAGGCTCGAAAATGACATTCCCAGAACAAATGACCATATCTTCCCTTCTAAAAGGGTTAAATTAATAATCTTTTTTCTCAAAGTAATGATAAACCTGTGAGTTGGATGTAGAAAAGTCAGAATCAATATAGATGTTTTTTATTTTAAAGAAAATTCAGATTGAACATGGTAAAAAACTGTAAATTATAGTGTCCGTCCAAAAAATATGTTGTACTTATAGTGAAAACCAGTGGTGTAGTGGGCGCTGGACGCGGGGGTACGCCGCGTACCCCCACTTATTTGGAGCATGATCTTTTTTTAAATTGTGTAATAAATATAAAATCATTGCCAGTGTTATCAGTTGCAAGTGTGTATTTGTTATAATAATGACAAAAACATAATACATTTCACAGTAATTATAATAAAAAATAAAAACGATTTCCTTAAAAAATGATGATTCGTCATCACGCTTGTGACCCCGCGGCGAGCTGGGGGTGTGTCAGTGATTTGGCGGCAGCTCTTTCCCTCAAGAACGCTAACGAGAAAGCTCTACAATAGCAGGCAAACATTCTATACTTGACTTCTTTTCTAAAAAGAATATCATTCACAAAAAGAAAGAGGCTAGCAGCACCGAAGCTACAAGTGAAGCTGCTACTAGTACATCATCAGAAGAGCCGCCTAAAGATGTGGATAATGCCATCACTAACGTCAACGTTAGCTATGCCATCAACGTTCCCCTAGCTAGCTCAAGCTCACCTTTCCCAGATGCATGGACGGAGGAGATGTAGCGGAGGAAACAAGAGGCATACCCGTGGATACACTGCAAAGCTGGGAAACTGGGCTGCAAAGTTTGTTCATCCATTTCGGATTTATCAGTCTTCAAAACGCAAGGTGTGTGTGTGTGTGTGTGTGTGTGTGTGTGTGTGTGTGTGTGTGTGTGTGTGTGTGTGTGTGTGTGTGTGTGTGTGTGTGTGTGTGTGTGTGTGTGTGTGTGTGTGTGTGTGTGTGTGTGTGGCAGCGCTGTCTGCTTATTTGCAATGTAGGCTAGGCCTCATCAGAATAATTTCAAGTCCAGATTCAGTATTGTTTGCATAAGTAGGCTATATTTTTCGTTTCGTTTATTTAATAAGTTAATTTCAGGACAACTTTGGGAATTGTGTTTGTTTGTTATGAGTTTTAAATAGATTTTGAAAGTGGAGAGAGAGAAAGAGAGAGAGAAGCAGCGCTGTCTGCGTAGTTGCAATACTGTAGCTCAAGCATTTATGCAATTTAGGCCTATACATTGTTTATGTAACTTATGTGCCAGTGTGTCCATGGTTTTGAGTCTGTGTGTGTGTTGAGCGCACCGCCGTCTGCTTTTTGCAGTACAGTAACTAAAGTAGGACTAAGCATACCGGTAGTTTCTGTGGACCTGTCTGCCCGTTTTGGGAGTGCACTGTGCGCGTGCGCACTTGTGTGGCATTGTTTGGGATGACCTAATTAAAATAGCGTCCCCCCAGTAAAAAAATCCCCACTACACCACTGGTGAAAACTAACCTTGGATGATGGGTTAGTAGACTAAAAGCTTTAGGAATCCAAAGTACAACATATAATAAGTACCCTGTATCAAGATTGATGCAAAACAAGTTATGTGACCTTTTTAGACTGATTTAGCAAAAAAAACCTCTTCTGGGGCCATTTGGGTGGATTTTCCTTATCTCTGGCCCCCCTTGCTGGATTTTGACATGTGACATCTCTTTCTGACCGTCAGAGCCAATGGAATCGAAGGGGATTCGTCCCGCACACACTCATGTTAATAATTTTAAAAAATGGCGTCTTCGCGCAAGCAGTTTTGCTCCAGAGCAAAGCTGACTGTCTGTAGGTCTGACTTCTCAAAACTGAAAAGCTGATTTATTGCTCATGGATTATCAGAAATCATTCAAAGTGACACAGACACATTGGATTATCAGAAATCATTCAAAGTGACACAGACATATTGGATTAACCTATGGATTAACTTCAGCATCGTTGTAATGCCATTGAAGACCACTTTTGACCAGACTACCACACAGGTGAGCCATTTTGCCGTTTTTGGCTAACTAGCTCCATTTGTTTTGACGTGTGTTCTTGTTATTAGAGTTCGTATGACTGAGTGACAATGAGGGTACCCATCGATTCTGTGTCCCCTCACGATGTGAAACGATGGGTTGAGATGTGCAGCAAAGATAAGTAATAAGGTTTTGTGAGTGAATTTCGGTGCAGTCATCTGTTAGCATTTTTCGCTCGTTGCTAATTCAGAGGCTCAGCGTTAGCATTGTGGGTTTTTTTGTTGAATAAAATATTAAAATGATCAGTTAGATGAGTTTCTTTCCGTTACATGGATATAAAACATTCATAGTTTATTAAACGAACATGCCCTCAGACACTGTTTTCTGCAAGATATTGCAGGAGGCCCCCGGAACCGGGGTCTCTCAGGGCTTAACAGTTTGGCAATGTCCTTA